ATAAAGTTATCTCTACTTTTGTTTTCGTGCAACAAATCTAAGTGTCGATTATTGTAGGTTTGTTTTTTGTGTCTGAACTAGTATACATTTTTGGAACTTAAAGTGAGACATTCAACGAAAACGAGAAAAAAAGTTTTAGTACGGAAATAGAAAAAAAACGGATCTTGAAAATTGAAGTGAAAATTCCAAAAGTGAGAAAAGTCGGTAGGTGTCGATCAATGAAACTATAAATACTCTAAAGAATTTGTTCACTTTTGTAATTTTCATCTCATCTCGAGGTACACGATCGACCCTCCGGAGTCTCGAAAAATATCCTGTACGAAAATACTGGGGAAATACTCTATAATACACGTGACGTATACTGTAGTATTTCGTAGGTATGCGATATTTTTCGAGAATAATAACGGTTCTAGATTTCGGCTGAGATTTCTTTCGCGAGTAGATAAAAGAGAGAGGAAAAAAACGAGGAGAGGTGATCTCATACAGAAGCAATCTTGAGGAGAGATTCGCGTCGCGAAATCGGACAATCGTTGCGGATTTGTAACGGATCTCATCGTCATTGGTACGCCGTGGAGCCGGTGAATAGCCGACGTTTCAGCCTCGTGATCGAGAAACACACGCGCAGCAAAGCAGCGCGGCGTCTCAGGTTAAGTTGAAGGTACCTTTTCATTCTGACGCTCGTAACTTATTTTTGGGTACAGATTTACGATTCATTCGGCGCTTACGAGCATTGCTTGCGTTCGGTGGAATGTTTATCTTGCAACTGTTGGAAATTTTCTTCGCGCTGATTGAATTATGCTTTTAGACCTAAAAGAATAGTCCTATCTCAGCGAATAAAATTTTTAACAAAATAAACAGAACTAGAAAAGTTATTCTAGAAATCGCTTACAAGGTACTTTTTAGATGTTTGTTATAGAAATCGAGTACAAAAGTAAAATGGAAAATTGGAGCAACTGATAAAATATGATATAAAACTTACTGTACTCAATTTCTATAATAAACTTTCTATAATAAACTTATAATAAACTTGTAAAATATTTTCCAAACTACTAACTTTCCAAACCCTGAAAATAAACATTTGATAAACGTCAAAATAGGTCACTGATTAAAATGATTTTGACATTCGTCAGTTCTAACCACGTGGTCTTTTCTAACGCTACAGGCTGTGATACCCCTAAAAAAAAAAACAAGCAGTAAAACGTAAATAAACAGGTCAATCATATTAAATACCAGATAACGCAAATTATTATCTTAAATGACAAATCTCAAAATGTTAATTAGCCTATTATTAAGTTTTTGTGTGCTGGAGCCTTCAAAATGAGCGTACAATGTCAGTATGAAATAGCGCTTTGAGGTAGCCAGGCAGCGTTTCGGGAGAGTACCTATGCGACTTATTGATCGTCGCCCGGTTGCCCCCCTCGCGAGTGACGACATTCAACATTGACGCCGCTCACACGGCACGCGCGGCTCTTCGCCCGATTTTCTTCTTTTTTTCGCCCCTCTCGAAGCACGGAATACGCACGGATTGGCACGGATCGCGCGGCGAATACCTAAACGCGAGTAAACGCGTTTTCCCGACTTTCCGCAGGTAAGAGGTGAAAATTTCCGCCGACGGTCCTGTCGTGCATACATATGTGTGTTTATGTGATTCGTCGACGAAAGTGATTTCGCGCGAGAAATCGAGTCGCGGGAAAATATTCTTCGGCGCTTCAACGATGACGAGGCTGTTTGCCTTCGTGACGTTTGGATAGCAATCGGAAATCGCCGCAGATACATATCGCTGTTAATTGCTCTTTCTCTTTCTCTTTCTCTCGAACGTGATCTCAAAGTTCTTAAGATAAGGTGTGTGTGTGTGTGTGTGTGTGTGTGTGTGTGTGTGTGTGTGTGTGTGTGTGTGTGTGTGTGTGTGT